GGGAGAAGGACGGAGGGAGAGAGAGACAATCTTAAGCAATCTCCATGCTCAGTGTAGAGCCTGATGCAGGGCTCAGTCCCATGACTCTGGGATCATGACCTGATCCCAACCAACTGAGCCACCCATGTGCCACGGCCTATGTGATTTCTGATTAGAAATCAGCTGTTAATCTTGTTGAGGATTCCTTGTATGTGACAAGTTACTTGTCACTTGTTGCTTCTAAGATTGTCTTTTTTTGTGTGTTTTGATAATTTGATTATAATGTGTCTCAGTTCTACACATCTGTTTGAGTTTATCTTGCTTGAAGTTCCTTAGGCCTCTTGGATGTGTGTATTCAAATCTTTCATCAAATTTAGGAAGTTTTCAGCCATTATTTTTTCAAAAATTTTTTGTCTGTTTCTGTCTCCTCCTGGAACTCCTCTTGTGCATACTGTTGGTATGCTCAGTGGTGTCCACCAGGCTCATAGGCTCGGTTCATATCTCCTTTTTTTTTTTTCTTTCTTTACCTGACTGAATAATTTTGAGTGCCTTATATTCAAAGTTTTTTGATATTTCTTCTGCCAGCTCAAATCCTTTTGGCTCCTGTAGTGAATTTATTATTTTATTTTTTATTTATTGTATTTTTCAGCTCTAGGGTTTCTATTTTGTTCCTTTTCATAATTTTGATCTCTTTTTGCCATTCCCTATTTGTTCATAAATTTTTTTGTGTGGTTTCCTTTAGTTCTTTGTCTATGATTTCCTTCAGCTTATTAAGCATATTTAAGATAGTTGATTTAATGTGTTTGACTAATATTTCCAATGTCTGGGCTTCCTTAGGGATGGTTTCTAATTATTATTATTATTTTTCTGTGAATTGGCTTTACATACTTGTTTTTTGGTATGTTTTGTATTGTTTGTTGAGGACTGGACATTTTGAGTATTAGTATGTGAACTCTGGAAATCCGATTTTCCTGCTCCTCAGGGATTGCTGATTTTTGCTTGTTGAAGTTTGCTGTCATCTCTTTAGTGATTTTTCCAAACTATTTTTCAAAGTGTATTCCTTGGAACGTGTGGTCATTGAAGTTTTTATTCTGTTATCTCTACAGCCAGCCAGTGACTTGAAGATTTTCTTAAAAAAAAAAAAAAAAAAAAAAAAAAAGTCTGTCCCTTTAAATCTTCCAATAGATGCTGTCAGGGGAAATTGCTGCAGTTCTAGAAGGCCAGTCTCCACCTGTCTCTCAGGGAGCTGGTAGACTGACCGAAATGTTCTGGAGGACAAGGACCTTACTGCTCACACTGGCATCAGCCAACCACTCCAGAAATGGTGGCTGCTAATCCCACAGCTGCATGGTGGGGTGCGGGCTGAGGAATGGGGCATGGCAGCTGGTTCTCACCCCTCCCCACCCCTACCAACAGTTGGTGACCTTTTCCTTTATCATGCACTCTCCTGGTTTTTTAAAGTTCAAGTTCCAGAGTTTCAATATTGTTGACTCTGTGAGTGTTTCCGTTTCCAACTGACAGTTGTTTTTGTTTGTTTGGTTTTTAGGGTTATTTATTTATTTTGAGAGAAAGAGAGAGGGAGAGAGTGAAGGGGAGGAGCAGAAAGAGAGGAAGAGAGAGGATCCTAAGGAGGCCCTACAATGTCAGCGCCATCGCTGAGCCCCTCTTGGGGCTTGAACTCACGAACCATGAGATCAAGACTGAGGTGAAACCATGAGTTGGACACTCAACCGACTGAGCCACCCAGTGGCTCTGACAGTTGTTTTGATGAAGGGACTGATCCCTAGGGCCTTCACTCCACCATTTTGCCTCATGCCCTTCTGAATCCCTCCTTTTAAAATTTTTGTTTTTTTCCATAACTCACTTTGAGTTTCTATTACTGGCATCTGAGAGATGGCAACAACTGTAGCAACTGCCATGCTTGGTGCTATGTATTTTTCAGACTTAAAGATGATTTCATCCCTTTTCTTGGAGGGGAGGCTGAAGTGTACAGAAAAACCATATACAAGAAGGATTCGAGTGATCAGTGACAACCCTAAGGATAAGCAGATGAAGTACCAGGGGAACTTCATGGAAGGGATGATTTTTTGACCTTGGGGTTAAGGATGAACCTCCTATAGAATTAAAAGAACCTCATCTAAGGTCTTTGGCCCTCCGTTGACTCCAAGATCCACAGACAGTTCTGGTCCCTGCCTTGATCACCTCCTGCTTCTCATGCGCAAGGGAGGGCCTGGTACATGGAAGGGGGTCAATAATTTTTGCTGATTTGTTTTATTTGAAGGTGTTTTGTTTTATTGAAGGTGTTTTGGGGTGGCTGATGTTCACCTGGATGAGTGATTATAATTTGAAGGATTTTAGATGGATAGAGGAAGTTTTCACTGTCAGCTTTTATACTTGTGATCACCATCATTCTTCAAGCCAACCCTGAGGCAGGTATAGCTCTAAGACTTGTTGTACAGGAGAATGAAACTCAGCAGGTTAAGGGTCTTGCCTAAGACTTGTCAGCAGGCAAGTGGCAGAGTTGGGACCACAGCTTGGGTCTGTCTTGGTTTTACAGTTCAAGTTCTTCTGCTGTTACTTCTGAGAGCTCTTAGGACTGAGTGAAGGAAGCAGCAAATGTTCATGGAATGTCAACCAAGTCCCTGTTCTCATGGAGCTTGTGTTCTACTGTGAAGAGATGGTAACTAGTATAGAAGCAGATAAAATTGGTAATCCTAAAAAGGGATAAGTGCTATGAAGAAAATTTAAAAAGTGAGGTGCTGGAGGATGCTTGGAGGAGAGGGGAGGGTCTTCTACAGACAGGATATCAGGGAAGCTTTTTTATTTGAATCGAGGCCTGAGTGATGCAAAGGAGTAGACCATGCAACGATCCAGCAGAAGTATTGCAGGCAGCAAGATCAACCAGTGCCAAGACCCCAAGGCAGGAGAAGAGCGAAACCATTATGGTTGGTATGAGTGGCAAGGGGGCTTGCAAGGCAGTTAGAAAGGTGGGTCAGATATAATACAGAATTCTAGTAGGACATCTGGGTTTTATTCTAGTTGCAGTGAGAATTCATGGAGGGCTCAAGCAGGGAGAGTGATATGATCTGGTTATTTTTAAAAGCTCCTTCAGGCTGCTGAGCTGAAAATAGATTGGGGGTACATGAATCAGAATCTTTGGCTGCTGGTGACATAAAATATGATGCAAACTGCCTTAATCCATCAGAAAATTTACTGGCCTCTTTAACCAGAAGTGCAGAGGTAATGTAGACTTCAGAGCTGGCTGATTCAGCCCTGAGTCCAGTGCTGTGATATAGTCAAGAACTCAAGTTCTGTCTCTTGGCTCTGCTGACCACAGACTCAACTTCATTGTGAGGCTAAGAGGTGTCCGGGTGGTTTTACTAGAGCTGAAATACACAGGGCTATATGCCCTGTACTTCCCCACCAGGGGATGGATAGATTTTTTTTTTTTTTTTTTTTTTTTTTTTTTTTTTTTTTTTTTTTTTTTTTTTTTTTTTTTTTTTTTTTTTTTTTTTTTTTTTATGGAAACACTTCCAAAGAATGAGGGAGAACTTTTTCAGAAGCCTTCAGGAAATCTGTTTGTGAAGTATCACATGCCCTTTCCGGAATCAACTATTTACAGGGAAAATGCATCATGCCTTTAGACTGGAGCTGGGGTGCCTCAGCTTCGCAAAGGCACAGGAACTATGTGGGCTAGGGTAGACCATGTGAAGGAGGGGAGATAGACAAAGGGCAGCTGACAAAGTCCATTACAAGGGCAATAGTGGAAGCAGGGAGGCCAGAGAAGAAGCTACTGAGGTAGGTGAGGATAGAGAGATGATGGTGGAGATAGAGGAGGTGGTATGAGAAACATTCCGATTCTGCCTCTTTCAGAGGTGTTGACGTTGAATATGCAGTGAGGAAAAGAGGAATTAACATATACCATTTGCCCAAGTTTTCCTTGCGTCTTTCTTTGAAGCAAATGGAAAAAGGGTGTATCTGGACTGGAGAGCTGGCCAAGAGAAAGGGAAGAGAAACTGCAAGACGGCATACAAAGGTGTAAACGGCAGATACCCCTCAGCCTACTCCCATCTGTACAACGCTAAACAAACAGGATCCATCGCTACTGTTAAGAACTGGAGCAGAGGTGGTGCTTAGGGCATGGCCAGTTCCGGCTAGGAAGCATTAATTGGGTGCCTACTGTGTCCAGAGGCTGTAGGAGAAACAGAGCATAGTTCTGAAATAAGAGAAAAAGTGTGGGCTAAGTTATCCTTGAAAAAATCTCTTAAATAGTCCAAACATAGCACTATATTAATATAAGCACAGTAATTAATACACACGCAAAACATAATTGCATATTTTAATTCATTAAACAGGCACAGGAAAGAGTTGAACTTGCTAAAATTAAATTATGTTCTTACAAAGCAGCTTTGGTTCTTGAATTAAGCTTCCACCGCCAGATGCAGCGCTAAACGACTGGAAGACGAAGGGGACACAAGGCTCACCTCCAGGGGCACTCACTCAGCGTGGAACCCGGAAAGAATGAAAGCTTCCAGAGGCTACAATGCAGCGCAAACCTCGCGGGGTAAGCCCGCCTCAGCCGCGTCACGCCTGCACCACGTGACCCACTAGGGGGCGGGGCCAGGGGCGGGGGCTCCGCGCGCGCTTCCCGGCGTGCCGCGCGGGGCGGAGCGAGGGGCGGAGCCTACGGGGGAGGCGCGGAGGAGGCGCGGCCGCCACAGGACGCCTGTCTCGGCCCGGCCACCGGACAGGCGCCTCCGGCTCTCACCGGCCCGCCTGCTGCTTCGAGCCCGCGGCGGCGGCGGCGGCGGGCGGCATGCGCGTGTGAAATGCGGCCGCGGGCAGCCGGGACGCGAGCAGCGGCCGCCGCGGCAGCGGAGAAGACAGGCGCGGCCTCCTCAGCGAGGGGCACGCAGTGCATGAGGGCGAGCACGCGGGTGCTGGGCAGCCGCCGGCCACGCCGCCTCCATAAACATTTGTTTAGGACTCGTTCGCCCCGCTGAGGTCCCGGCGCCTCCACTATGGAGGCCCCGGCCGACCCCGGGTCCCACGCCTCGGCCTCGGCCTCGTCCTCGGCCGCGGCTCCTCTGCGCGCCCCGGAGGTGGCGCGGCTCCGAGAGGAGCAGGAAAAGGTAACAGGCCGCGCTCCGGGCCCCACGCTTCCGGCGGTGGTCTCGGGAGGCGCCCGCTCCCCGGCACATCCTCGGCGCCCGGCCCCCCCAATCTGGGGCTGGGGCCCTCCTCGAGGTCCGCTTCCCCCGCTCGCCCCGGCGGCCCCCTCCTTCCCGCTGTGGGCCGCAGCTCTCTGGTCCCGGGCCCAGCTCGATCCTGACGCGGTACCGGGGAGGAGCACAGCCTCCAGGCTTGGAGAGAGAAAGTGTTGGGAGAAACTTTTGTCACGTGCTTTTGTTGTCTTTTGTCTGGAGCCCTTTGACCTTCAAGGGGAGGGAAGGGATGGGAAAGAGGGAGGTGACTATCCCTTTAAGTTGCGTATCAAAGTGAGTTTTTAGACCTAATATAGACAGCAGTGCGTGGGAATTTTTTGGTTTGGGGTACGCGGTCAATGGAGGGCTCACCTTAGTATCTTCTTAAAAATCGTTGCTAAAATATATACACATTGTTGCTCTTTATCAGGTTGCACGCAGTGATAAACAACTTGGTTGTTTAGTGTTGGTCAAAGTGGAACGCAATTTTATTAAATTTTAACTTTAATCGTATAATAAGTTTTAATCTGCCAGTGTAGGGAAGAAAATTTTGCATTTCC